CGTGAATCATGATGATTGAATTTATTTTGAATCTATTTCAGAGTTTAAAACATCAAAGGAAATGGAAATCAGATCCGAATTATACAAAATCCTGGTACGATAGAGGTGCAAAAATACATCAGGCAGACATGGAAATCAGATCCGAATTATACAAAATCCTGGTACGATAGAGGTGCAAAAATACATCAGGCAGACAAGTACAGGAAGGGTGCATGTGAAAAGTAAGTCAGATGAATGCCTCATTGTTCACCATTATGTATATTCCTCAACCTATTTCTTGTTCTTACCTAAATTTATAACTAATAGTTTTTCATATAAAAGAAATATACAAGGGGATATTGAATCGGAATTTTATACTCTTTCTTAATATTTTGCTGTGAAAAAAAGTACCAATCGTAGTTATGGAACTATGATTTCCCCACATTTTATATTCTTTCTTTTGTTACTGTATAAATATGCCAAATCTAAATATATTATAGGTTTGGAACTATTCTCCTAACTTGGTTCAGGTTTGGAGATATATGGAAATTCCCTTTTTATACTAATTTTCCTAACCTATGGTTTGTACCACTTTCCAATATTATTTAATATAGTTTTTATTTTTATTTTTATTTTTTTAAAATTTAAAATTTAAACACTTTCCAATATTATTTAATATAGTTTTTATTTTTATTTTTATTTTTTTAAAATTTAAAATTTAAATTTTTTTTATGATTTACTTGAAGTGTATGTTTTAATTTTATTGTGCATCTTTCAAATTTTATTGGCCATCCAGTTGTGGAGCATTGACACATGATGCTAAATCATGCATGGAAAGACCCCGAAAGATTGGAGCAAAATGGACAAATATGCACATAGCACCAGATGAGAAGATTGAGACATTTGAACTAGATTATGACGGGAAAAGGGATCGTTGGAATGGCTATGATCCAGCAACCTATGCTCGTGTCATTGAGAGGTATGAGGCTAGAGATGAAGCAAGGAGAAATTTTTTGAAAGAACAACAGCTTAAAAAATTGGAAGAGAAAAATAATAAGCAGAATGAGGATGCTGAAATTAGTGATGAAGATGAGGATGAAGATGATTTGAAGGTTGATGAGGCAAAGGTTGATGAAAGCAAACAAATGGACTTCGCAAAAGTTGAGAAGCGTGTTCGCACGACAGGTGGTGGAAGCACGGGAACGCAAACAAATGGACTTCGCAAAAGTTGAGAAGCGTGTTCGCACGACAGGTGGTGGAAGCACGGGAACTGTAAGGTATGTCACGTAATTTATATTTGTTTATCCTTTTATGTCTCTCCCTGCTTAGCTCTTTTCTAGAGCGCCTCAATGCTGTATTAATTATTTCTTCCCATATTAGGAACTTGCGTATTCGGGAGGATACAGCAAAATATCTTTTAAATCTTGATGTCAATTCTGCTTATTATGATCCGAAAACTCGGTCCATGCGTGAAGATCCTCTTCCTGATGCTGATCCAAATGAAAAATTTTATGTGGTATGTATCAGAAATGGGATCGTGGAATTTTTATATACTCCCAAATTTAACAAAGTAATAGTTATAAGTTAGTACAGATCTAAATTGTTGATGTATTTTTGTCATAATAGGGCGATAACCAAAATAGAGTAAGTGGGCAAGCTTTGGATTTCAAGCAACTCAATGTGCATGCTTGGGAAGCATTTGACAAAGGTCAAGATATCCATCTACAAGCTGCTCCATCCCAAGCTGAACTTCTTTATAAGAACTACAAGGTTATCAAAGAGAAGTTGAAGTCACATACGAAGGATGCTATCATGGAGAAGTATGGCAATGCTGCTGATGAAGAAAAGCTGCCTCGAGAACTTTTACTTGGACAGAGTGAGAGACAAGTTGAATACGACCGCACTGGCAGAATTGTTAAAGGCCTGGTATTAAATTTATCTGAACTCATCCCTTTTATTTTCCTTAACAGAGTGTTACATCATTAACACGAAGCATTTTTAATCGATTTTGAGTTATTATCTGGTTTTGTTTTACAATAATATCCTTCATGACACTTGTCTATTTCGTTACTTCTGCTGAGATTAATATGACAATAACTGAGTTGAGTGGATAAGAAAATGCCTGTTATAATTTCAAAAAATTCATGATTAGCTGTATTCTACCATCGAGGCATTATGGTTCTACCTTTTTAAAACAAATGTAATTGTAGTGCTTTCCGCTCAATCTCAAATTAAAAGTTTGGACTAAGAATTGTCTAGCTAATGCATCATGACACGAGTTGATTGTCAAGTATGTTTGCTTTCTTCTGATTCCTTTTTTTCCTCCTTGAAGGAGATGGCTCTTCCCAAAAGTAAATATGAAGAAGATGTTTTTATTAATAACCACACGAGTGTTTGGGGCTCATGGTGGAAGGATCACCAGTGGGGCTATAAATGCTGTAAGCAGACCATCCGTAACAGTTATTGCACTGGGGCTGCTGGAATTGAGGCTGCTGAGGCAGCAGCGGACTTAATGAAGTCTAATATTGCTCGTAAAGCAACTTCTGAAGGTTAGTACTCGGAATCCGTTTTGTAGCTTTTTAAAAATTGAACCTGGAATGTCTTCCTGAATGTGATAAACCTCATTCTTGGCTTTCAACCGAATGCATGTGATTCAAGCTTTCTTTCCGTAACATAGTGCTTGCATGGATATAATTTTATTTTAGAATATGTAAATTTATCATCGGTTAGCTATCAAATGCTTGGCATCCTCAATTCTTCATTGTATTAAGGTAGAAAATTGTTCAATTGAACTCCTGAATGATCTTTTGACATCACCACAGATACACCAGCCCCAGCTGAAGAGAAAAGGCTAGCTACTTGGGGAAGTGAAGTACCCGATGATCTTGTCCTCGACCAGAAGAAACTTAATGAAGCTCTCAAGAAGGTATGAATTTTAACACCCTCTTCCTGCAATATCTCGTGTTATCATCCTTTTTCCCACCGCATTTTACTTGTTTCTTACTTGGGATTACCTATTTCGCCAGGAGGATGAAAGAAGGAAGGAGGAGAGGGATGAAAGAAAGCGTAAATACAATGTGAGATGGAATGATGAGGTATATTACTTTCTCTTGCTTTGATCAATAGGTTCCTTTGCAAAATTTAAATAGCAAGTTTAGGTTTATTCTTCGTTCGGGTACAAAACAATGCGCTGCGCCCTCGTGTGCAGGTAACTGCGGAGGACATGGAGGCATATAGGATGAAGAAGGTACATCATGATGATCCTATGAAGGATTTTCTAAACTAACTTAGCCTACTTGTATTGTAAATGTTTAGTTTTAGTTTATGATCCTATGAAGGATTTTCTAAACTAACTTAGCCTACTTGTATTGTAAATGTTTAGTTTTAGTTTCAATGATCATCAAGGGAACCTCTCATCTGAGCTTTCAAAACATAAAGTTGTGATTGTGAAGATTTGAGGTTGTCCAACGTATAATGGGTCGGTTCACGTGTCGGTAGTGGAAAAGTTCAAATGTCATTCTTTAGAAAAAGGGNATGATCCTATGAAGGATTTTCTAAACTAACTTAGCCTACTTGTATTGTAAATGTTTAGTTTTAGTTTTCAATGATCATCAATGGAACCTCTCATCTGAGCTTTCAAAACATAAAGTTGTGATTGTGAAGATTTGAGGTTGTCCAACGTATAATGGGTCGGTTCACGTGTCGGTAGTGGAAAAGTTCAAATGTCATTCTTTAGAAAAAGGCAACGTATAATGGGTCGGTTCACGTGTCGGTAGTGGAAAAGTTCAAATGTCATTCTTTAGAAAAAGGGTTCAAAACACATCAAAGAACAAGCTTTTTTTAAAAGTATGTAAGAAGAGTTAAAAGGTGGAAATGATATTTATAGGCTTATTTTTTTTTATTTTTTATTTTTTAAAAATAGCTATTTGAATTTCTAATTAGAATTTGGAAAAATTATATTCCAAGGATACAATATCGACCAAAAGGTCAAAACAATTATATTCTATTTCATAAGTGTAAATTATATTCCAAGGATACAATATCGACCAAAAGGTCAAAACAATTATATTCTATTTCATAAGTGTACTATTATCATTGTTTGTTATTCTTGGCTTGCTCAAACTCCAACTAATTCGGTATATTACAAGTTGGCATTGTAAGTAAAGCCTTATTCTTTGCCTCTCTGTCTCAAAATAATGCACTATGCCCTCGCATCCAGCATATGACATCAAACGATGTAAGTAAAGAGGTTATGCCATCTTTACCTTAATTAAAATAACAGATAAAGGAGACTGTTGCAGAAATAATAATAAAAAATTTAAATCTAATTTTCATTTTTATTATTATTTCAATTTTATCTATTATCAACATGTATATTAGGTTGTGTATACGATTAAATATACTATACCAAATTTACTGGTTCGTATATGCTTGTAAACGAAATATAATTTTGTTAGTACATTGTTACTACTTGCATGCATATAATCAATAAGTTTTTTGATTTGTGTTTCGGGAGAATCGAGTCATTTATTCAGTTCATAATGATCTCCGTAAAAAAGGGGCAAAGCTTCTACAACAACATCCCCTTTGTCGCTTCTAACTAAGCGTCTTTCGGCGGAAACAATTAGGAAACAACTAGTTCAAGTTCATGAGCAAGTGAATGAATGAACTGAGTCTTTTCAAAACTCATAAGTTGGGCGGTCCATGAGTTTTGAAAATTATTCTCTTCGGCTAAACAAACTATATAATAGAAATATTTATGATGTTATATCAAATTTTATACAAAATCGTAATGATATAGATCAGAATTTCTCCATCAAAATTTGGAGAATATCACAAAGCAAACATCAAGCCACAATCACATCATAGTAAAGTAAATTAGCATCCCCTCCAGCATCTTCTACGATACATTCAAACCACACTCTGAAAAAGTACTTTCCAACAAATCACCAATTCAATAACGAAATCAAGATCCATATGCACTCATAATTATGAACATGTATGAACGAATTCAACAATAATCAAGCACTGCGGGCCAACATCTGTTGAAATTCGAGAAGCGATTTCTCCTTCTCAAGAATAATCTCTTCCCGGAATTTCCTTATGAACTCCTCTGCTCGTTCATCCACCGGCCGTAGATGCGGCGATGAAGCCACCACGATTTTCCAAGCATCTTCAATGCTGTTAACACTCGTCTCCTTCTCCTCTTCCATTACTTCTTTTCCTCTGCTCGTCTCTGCAATCGGCGCTGCCGGATCCGCGAAGAGCTCATCGATGTGGATTGGCGCGAAATTGTTTGGATTTTGAACGTGTTCATCGTATTGTTGGAGATATTGATTCTGATCGCGACGGTAATATGAAGAAGGAGAGGACTTACGGCGGAGAAGACGGCGGCGAAATTTGGAGGGAAATAGAAGGCTGAGGGAGCGTTGAACGACGGAGTTGAGGCGGCGCGTGGCTATATTGATGGATCTGGAGATTTTGAGCGCGTGGAATTTGAATCGTAATGTGTTGGTTAGTTTCTTCCACGCCTTCTTCGCCGTACGAAGCTTCTTCTCCATTTTCGTGCGCGACATTGGAGAGAGATTGCAGAAGGAAGGATTCTGGAGAATGATTAATGTATGGTTTTAATGGCGGCTCCAAAGAAAAAGCAGCGTAGTTGTCAAGCTTCCCCCTCTTTTAAACCCCAATTTTATTTTTTAAAATTTTATATCTAATTAATTCAATCATGCAGTAAATTATAATCTAAATTGTGAAATGAGTCAACATAAGTCAACCAAATTATTCGGTCCATTGATTCATATAAAGCTACAATGTTACATAATTCGTGATGTTAATAGGTAAGCTATTCTCGTTACGATGTACATAATTACTGAGAGATCCCACGTCGAAGCATTGTTTATAAGAGTGTGGAAACCTCTTAAAACATTGAGGCTGAGGGCCAAAACAGACAATATCAGTTAGCGGTGGGTTTGAACTGTTACAAATGATATATGAATCAATTATTGGGCAGTGTGTCAGCGAGAATGTTGGGTCCCTAAAGGAAGTAGATTGTGAGATCCCACATTGGTTATAGAGGGGAACAAAACATTCATTATAAGAGTGGAAATCTCTCTCTAACAGACATATGTTTAAAACCGTGAGGTCCAGGACAATCTTTGTTGTTTGCTTCAACAATCTCATCTAGCTCTCCAAAATACGTCATCTAGATAGTCACGACATCTAGATGCTAAAAATACGTCTCAATACTGCCATCAAATAAGGAAAACGTCAAACGCTCTATGATAGCATATCGACCCATTGATAGAAAGATTGCACGTAGTATCGAATATTATATCGAAGAGACTCACGAGTAGCCTCTAAAATTTTTTACTTCATAAATCTGGAGCTTGATCCAATAATAATTATTTTTTTAATTAAAAAAATCAGTGGCAAAATTGAAATTATTTTCAAAGATGAGGGGCAATTTTATTGGAAATCTCTCGTCCGGCCAAGCACATGTGTCCATTAAAAGGAAAAAAAAACAATTTCAATCATATAAAATTATATATATATATATATATATTTATTTATTTATTGTTTTTTAAAGTTAAAAAAAAAAAATGATTAATTTTAATGACAGATTACTTCATGCAAGCTAGCTAGCTCTCACCCGACAAACATCGAAATGCATGAATCCGACCTATAAAGAAAATGTTGAAAATAACGTATTTTATAAATAAATAAATTATAAATAAAATAGAAAATATTAGGAATTATACATTATTTGTGAGGCATGTGGGGGGTGGGCCTTAACATATTTGACATTTAATAAAAATGGCAACAAAAATACCAAAATTTAATTTTTGATAAAAAGGAATGGGTATCTCATCCTCTTTTTGCAAAGCTAAATAGCCTTTTTATTAATTAATTTTTTTTTTATTTTTTTCTTTCTAGTTGTCCATTATTCCAATATTTGGATTTTTTTTTTTTTGTTAGATTTAATAAAATTTTTAAATATTAAATATTCTTCGTGATTCTATTTTCAGGTGGGTTGAGTTAACTTGACGAAAAAAAAAAAAAAAAAAAGAAATTGATATAAATTTTTATCATTTAACAAGCCGACTTGTCGTTAAGATTCGACCACCCCTTCTTTGAAAGTCAACGGCGTTTCAAAATAGTCAAGGGAGAAGATCAACTACGGAAGACGACATGTCGTTTACATGACTGACATTCCACTTCAAATTCTACGATATTTTCGGACCCCAACCCTACAATCGGTCTCCGTCGCAGAAGCTTCGTCAGAAAATCCAGGGACGACGTATTGCGCGACACTCGATAAAATTGATCCTCAGAAACAGGGTAGGTAAAGGGTAACATCAAGGTCTGAATTATTTGATTTTCGCGTTTCATCTTTGATTCAGAACCCTTCTCGTTTAAGAAATTGGAATCAATCGTAAGCATCTTTTGGTTTTCTTTCATTTTTCTTGATTTTTGGGTGAAAATTTCGATTGGTTTCTCTTAATTGTTCATCGGCCCCACTTCTTGGATCGATTTAACCTAAAAGGCTCCATTGAGATGGTTACCTCGTTATTCTCTTTCAGGCCTGGGAATTTGCGTTGCTCCCGTTGTTCAAAAGGGGGCTTGAATTGAATTTTCCACGGAGATTTTTAGGCGAAATTCTGGGTTTTCTTCCAGACCTGATTGAACTTATTCGATTAGCTTTTGTGGGTTGGTCTGGAATGGGGCAACAACAATCGAAAGATGAACTGCTCTACCAGCAAGTAAGCTATGGAAATTCAGAAGGGATTAAAGCCCTTTGCCGAGAGGGTGCAGGCCTTGAGGTAATTGTTAAATTTTCTCATCCTCTTGAGAGTATGATTAATTGCATTTGGTGCTGCTGTTCTTACTTTCATGATATCTACAGTGGATTGATAAGGATGCGAAAACCCCTTTAATTGTGGCCTGCATGAGTCCTGAGCTTCATAATGTTGCGAGAACTTTGATAGAACTTGGTGCTAATGTTAATGCGTATCGGCCTGGTAGTTTTCTTTATAATTCGCTTATGCTTTCTTCTCATTGCATCATATTCAGCTCTGCTTTGGTTAGCTTAACCCTTTTCAATGCATTTTAGGACGTCATGCTGGTACCCCTTTACATCATGCAGCTAAAAGAGGTCTTGAAAATAATGTCAAGTTACTTCTTTCTCATGGAGGTTTGTCTTAATCTCTCCATACTAACACATTGTTTCTTTCAATATTTGTTCAAAATTTTTTTAGCAAGTCTAATTGACATGTTGTGTCATAATCTTCAGCAAATCCATTGATCATGAATGATGATTGCCAGAGTCCTCTTGATGTTGCTAGAGCAAAAGGTCACATCAATGTTGTTCGTACGATCGAGGTTTGTTTACCTCGTAATTCTATTTCAACTCCAACTAAAAAACATTTTTTTGGGTTGAAACTGTTTGTGTCAAGATGATTATTGAAGCCTTTTTTTTTTTTTTTTTTTTTTTTTTTTTTTTTTTTTTTT